ATGCGTTTTTATATATATATACACGGTACGTACATAATGCGATATAGTGTTATATAACGTTAGCTAAAAATTAGGTTACACACGCGGGGGAACAGAGCGCAGCGAAGTAGTGGAATTTTGTTCCCGTGAGTACGTCGATACACGTCTACTTGTATACACGTTTATTGTTTAGTGAGAGCAGGAGGAAAGTTCGTTGTACAGCGGCAATACGAAAACGACAGTAAACGACAGCAGGATATGTCAAATATCGAAGATGGAATATACAAGTATAAAGCACTTTATACATTATAGTATAAAAACTTAACAAAATTGTACCGATGAAATGAAGCTTTCTAAAGCTGAACAAACTACGTTCTGGGACTAGCGAGGATAATCGATGAGTTTTTGTGTTTCGTCAAATTATTCGACCTTTTTTTTTTAAATACTGGATTCGTACACTAGATGTACGAATGTATGATTATAAATACAAATATGACAAATAATTTCTTCAAAAAGGATTGAAATATATTTATATATCGAGCGAAAAATAGCAGACGATCACTTTACATTTCCTAAAAGAAGACAAACGACTATTCTACAATATGTAACAGAGAATAGGACGAATTATACTTTATCTCTCTCTCTCTCTTTTGTTACTCTTATCAACATTTGCCAAGCACACTAACGCCAACCGTTATCATTTACATCTAAATCAGGGAACAAAATACATCCAATACCTCGCTACAGCGAACACTATCGTCGCAACTTTCGGACAGCAGCAACGACAGCAACATATGTACATATACATCACCGTAGAAAAATCTACAATAGTCAACCAATTCTAAGAGGGATCAAGCTTCGAACGTGCCTCGAACGAAAAATTTTGTCCATCGCGGGTCACGATGCGACGACATCTCTCGCGAGGATCGATCATCTTTTGATCGTCGATAACCATCGGCAAGCAACACGTTGTCAATCCATCGTTATGCTAAGATCGTTATTAATAGAGGCCAGCTCATAGAAACGAAATTATCAATGCGAATATAGACACGCTCCTGGCAGAGCTGGACGTTTCACGAAACGTGACGAGGTTGTACGTACGTCGATCGATTCGTTCCGATGCGCTTGGATCGGGGAAAATTGATAAATTATTCGGATTATAGACAGCAGACTTTCGACGGATTTTTATGCGTTTGTAGAAAATTTGAAAATTGAACAATACGCAGGATATTTTGGATATATAAAGTATTCAAAGCGCACTACACGTTATAATACGTTTAATTGCAACTTCTCTAACTGCGTTCGCAGAAATGAATCTGCATGGAAATCCGCTGAAAATCTAGTTATGAATATTAACATTTTCGCAAAAACTACGATCACTGTTTCCACCGAGTGGAAAACGATTGTGACGACGAGTTTACTTTCTTTTTCTTTCAAAACACAGAAAATTTTAAATTACCCTATTCGTTTTACTCGAATGTAAATATAATAATCATCTCAAACAGTTAATGTATTGGTACTGACATATTTTATTACAAAAATAATCGTTTGCTTTTCGGACGAAATAAATTCTAATTGTGAATTTCATTCGTGGATATAATTAACAGTGTTAAAGGATAATACTGTAAATGTTATTCAACGATATTGAAGAATATTATATTATACAATATTATTAATATTACTATATTAATAATATGTATATTATACAATATTATTAATATTACTATATTAAGAATATATATATTATACAATATTATTAATATTATTATATTAATAATATATATATTATACAATATTATTAATATTATTATATTAATAATATATATATTATGCAATATTATTAATATTATTATATTAATAATACATATATTGTACAATATTATTAATATTACTATATTAATAATATATATATTATACAATATTATTAATATTATTATATTAATAATACATATATTTCACAATATTATTAATATTACTATATTAATAATATATATTATTCTATATTATTAATATTATTATATTAATAATATATATTATACAATATTATTATTATTATTAATATTTTCGTAAAATAATTCCCAACGCATTTCTTGCTGCACTCGATCGACGCAAGACCCTACAACGCTAACTTTAAAACGCAGCTTCGCCAGAATCCCGTCCAAATATATTTATATATTTATATATTTAGATATATGTACGTGTGTATATATAATCATCTTATTATCACGAGAGAATAGAATCTTTTTTTCGTCTGTATACTACTGGAACATAAAATACGAAAGTGGACTGCGTTCGCCTAAAAGTACATATTGCGTTATTAAGAGGTACGTACATACCTAAAGGTTTTCTACTACGCTGCTTCGACTCGGGTATACACAATCGTCGAGGGTTGTTGTTGTTTTCTCTACGCGTTACGAATTTTTCACGACAACGGGGCAGAGAAACTGGGGGTTGGTGGGTGGGGGGAGGGGGTAAAAACTTGAAAGTTCAGGCACTGTAAACTCAAAGCACTCGCAGCGACGGTGAATCCGAAGAACGCCGGACGAACGAGTAGCTCGGTATGTGAACTGCTCGATCGTCGGTGACCTTCGCCACGCCTTCGTCGAAATCGTCGAAAATTTCACGCGCGACACGTCGCGCCGTTTACACGCGTTTCGTCGTTCGTCTCGCGACGACGTCTCTGAGTATTGACGAGTAGGTACGAACATGCGGTGGACACGGGCGTAAAATTTAACGAGCCTCGCGAAACACGCGAAACATCCATGGATAACCGACTCCACTCAACTCAAGATCGCATTTCCTTCTCGACAAGTGAGAATGAGATATTCTCCGTGGTCTTGAGATATCGAGCGGCTTGTGAAAGACTCTGCGGACTGTTTGGAAAATTCGTAGGAAATCCGGAGAATTCAGTTGTCAGTGTCTCTGTCGAATCTGGTGGAAATTGTTGATTTCGTTTGGTGTCCCTTTCAATTTCGGCTCGAGGCATTAAATAAATTTAAACTCTCGTCTACGTCTTTTAAATAAATTTTATGACGTAATGGTAAAGCTAATGCTATTTTCTTTCTGTGAGAAAGTTCCACGTTTAACTAAGGAAATTCAGATTGCGAAGAAAAATGAAAATTACGAGTGTTGGTTTTGTAGGTTTCATCTCGAAATAATGTACATCTTACGAATAATAAATAAATTCATGAGGAAATAAGTCATTCGCGTTGAATTATAGCTCTGTCTCTCGTTCGGGGAAATTTAAGATGTAAAATTTAAAATATTGTCATTGAAAGGAAATTTATTTTATTATTAACGAATGTCAATAATATATATATATAATAATATATTATATATTAAATAAATATACATATAATATATATATTATTTATTATTTTTATATTATATATAATATATATATATATATATATATTTTCTTCGTGAATTATAACCAATAAAAAAATAGTAACGTTATGAATTTTCCAAACAGGGCAGTAATTTTCGTTCTCTTGGTCGACTGACATCGGTAAATGAATTTCGAAGGACTCGTGAAGCTTTACGTGCGAGTCGCTGGCACATGACAGTAGTTAAATACGTATATATTGCACGTATATACACAATTATGCATAGGAATGTAGAGCTACGTATCATCTAAGTATTGCACGATTTTTCCACAGGACGAATCAAACGAACGAGATTCGAACAACGGAAGTGTCTCTACGTACAAAACTAACTCGTAAGCTCACGAAAATACGAGGATATGCAGCATGTTCACGAGATATGATCGGTATTGTTACAACTCAGCTATACAACTAATCGAGCCTCATCATTGACATTCACGAGACCGTAAATTATAAATATCAAACCGTATATCAAAATTTCAGATATTTGCCATTAACGATCAATCGGCGAATCGTACGTTCCCACGCGATTCAACTAACGTGTTTCCGAATTTAACGACGCTCGATGTTTCATTTCCTCAATTTCATTAAAAAAGAAAAAAAAAAAACAGAAGTGATCACTGAATGAAAATACGCACGTACTTGATTGGTCTACGATAAGAAATCAACAAGAATGTGATATGTTATCACGCGTTATAAATAGTCGCAACGTACCTTTTACTTCAATATCGCGAGATACATCGCGGTTAACGAGGAAGAACTCGCTTCCTCTTCACCCATTACACACGTTATCTATACAATTACCTACACGAAAGCTTCAGTAGCTACTAACTTCGACGCCTTAACTAGTGATATGATACTTCGGTTCAACAATGAAATGCAAAACGAAACGGAGTAAAAACTAAAGGTCTGCCCGATGTTCGGTGGCAATTTCGCGAGCGAAGGTCCTTGTTGAGGGAGAGCCTCCGTCGCGATTACTATTCTTCCTTTCGCATCCTCGTCCGCGGTACGCGGACAGTTCTTCTCGGATCCTCCAACTTTCTTCTCCCCGCCTTGTTCCTTCTTCGTCTTCCTTTTATCGCTTCTTCGTCGCTTTCAACGATCTTTCACGCTCACGACGAGGTTGGTTTCACTACGTTCTAGCTGCTTCTGCTTCTGACTCTATCTTTCGAAATAATTGTTATCCTCTATTTTACGTTCTCCGTGTGCCATTGGATACGTTGAAGTCTTGTTGCTTTGCATAGCAGTCGATGTGTACGTTTCCAACAGTTGGCGCGATGACTGCCGGTTAATGAATCAAAGCAACGTTATAAATACGAGAGGAAACTTTTCACGTCGAGTGCGACAAACTTGAAGTTACTAAAGCCTTTCGTCGAAATTATTATACTCGACAAACGATATTCGAAGAATTTGCAGATGCTACACTGGTGTCGAATCGTTGAACGAGAGGAATAAAAGTTACTCAAATGACGAAATAAGGGCGCGAAAAATTGTAAAAGAAAAAAAATCAGTGAAACGAGAAAAATAAGGAAGAGTTCGTGAAACAGTTCGAGAACAGTCATCGAGTTAATGTCTCAAATATACCAATCACGCATCTTCACCTTCGTCTTAGTTTCAACGAAAAAGAAAAAGAAAAAAGAAAACAGAAAAGAGAAGAAAGGAAAAGATAGAATCGCTCCTCAAACATGTAAGACACTAATCCGTAAGATCGATATACATTCTCCGACACTACCACTTCCGAATGATCCCAAGACCATCGTTGAATATCGATACATATATATATATACGAGCATAGAACTTCGCGGTGTACCCTCCAAAGTAATCTACCCATGTGGTTGATACCTCGGAGTAATCATTCTGGAAGTCGTCACGGGCCCCCCCTTTTCGATCATTCGTAACCAGAGGAACCGACGACGTCGTCGATGCACTTGGGCGAGACCGTCACGCGAATGTGAAGGTAAACGCTCAGGCGGCCGTCGTTAATTGCCAGAGGATGGCGTCGATGGCGCGTATGTGCGACGGGTATAACATTCTTCTGGACAACTGGAAGCCTATCTCGAAGACTATTTCACGATATTCGTGATACGCGGATTCTCGACTCGGCGAACGATCACGAATACCCGATAAACTGTGCGATCCGGTGCGACCGCGTTAATACATCCCTTGTCTGAATGGATTGCTATCGCCGGCTGGCTTCTGCTCCACGTTGGCAGGTGCTCTCCTGAATGGATTCACGTCCGTCTGACCTGCTGCCTGCGTCTCTTGACCGTAAGGTCTCTGCTGAGCGTAACCGACAGGTGGCTGCTGCTGTTGCCCGTAATTGGCCGGTTGCTCGTACATCGGCGGTTGCTCGTAACCGGTTGCCGAAGCCTGCATCGTGTATCCACCGGCGTTGACATTCTGCCCGTAACCGCTCTGATCGTACGCCTGTCCAGCCTGGTAATTCTGATCGTAACCACCTTGATCCACGTTCGTCTCCATGCGCGTTTGATTCAGGTGGTTGCCCACCTCGCCAGTCAGCGGCCTCTGCTCCTGCAACACGTACGTCTGATACTCCTTGTCCGGTGGATTCTGCATGAGCACGTCCGCCTCGTCCTGGAACGGCTTGAAGTCGTAGATGTGCCTCAGGTACATCAACACCGGGGCGTACAGCAGATTGGAGAAGGCTATGCCGACGTTCAGGGCCGTGAAACCGATCGCCTCGACGACACCGCCGGCTATGATAGGTCCGACCGCGTACGCCACGCTGTACGAGATGTCGGCGATGGCGTAGATGCTACCGTAAACGGAGACGTATCTCACGTCCACCAGGTAGCCGAGGGTCGGCAGCAGTGCGGTGTCGATGAGGGCTATGCCGAAACAAATGCCGCACAGCGGTATCATGAGGACCTCGTACGACGTGCAGAACGGTATTATGAAGCAGCACAGGCCTTCCAACGCCAGGCCGGAGGCGGCCATCAGCCACTGTTGTTGCGGGTAACGTTTGGACATGCGGACGGTTATCACGACGCCGAACACGTGAGGGAAGAACGCCGGCAGCCAGATCATCCCCATTTTCCAGTTGTCGCGCGTTATGTTGTCCTCCATCCACAGCGAGATGGTCGGCTCGAGGAAGGCCAACGCGACGTTCGACATCATCAGAGCGCCGGCGCACACGGCGATGTAAGGGTCCATCAGCAAACGCCAGATCGGTATCGTCTGTTTCTGCTCGTACTGTTTGCTGTCGAACACCTGCTCCCTCAACGGTTTCATCACCAGCAGAAGCATCACACCGTCGGCGAGGCTGATGAAGGCGAGTATCAGAAACGGCACCTCCTTGCCGGCGAACTGATAGAGAGCACCGCCGAACGGCGGCGCGACCAAACAGCCGAAACTGATGAACGCCAACGCGATACCGAGCGCCTTGGACCGCTCCGACTCCTCCGTGTAACGATCGGCGATCATTGCCAGGCCGCTGGTGTCCGCGAACGCGGAACCCACTCCCTGAAGGCTCCTGGCGAAGAACAGGACGCTGTAGCTACGGCCGCAGGCGAAAACAGCGGTGGACAGGAACATTATGCAGAGTCCTATCATCATCGGTATGTCGTAGCCGATCCTGTCGATCAACGCACCGGAGAACGGGTTCACCATCAGCTGAACGATGGCCTTCGACGCGAACAACACACCGGTCGCTGAATCCTGGCCGTGATGCTTCGGCGGCCCGGTCGCGTTCACCTCTTCCTTCACGTCGCCGAACGCGCCGACGTATTTCAGGTAGTCGGGTATGATCGGCACGATCACCATGTACAGCATGTTATCGAGCAGCAGCGCTATCGAGACGATAATCAGAACGAGCTTCCGTTGAGCCTTCGGCTCCTGCAACTTCATCCACACGAGCTCCTTCAGCTCGCCCAGCTCAATGTTGAGTATCGGTATCGTCGTCATGGTGGTCGATTTAGGTATCCGCCGGCCGTTTCAACAGCAGCCACGTGCAAAGAGCCTAGTCTTCCAAGTCAGGGTCTAGCAAGAGGAACTAATCGCGATCACTTGATGCGATCTTGGGAGTAGACGTAGATGACGTGACGAAGGAATCGTCGCGATTGGGGCGGCGCGCATCAGGCCGGGCCGGGGGTAACCTACAACAGATCACCGAGTTGGCACGGTTAGCTCCCGAAATCGTCGTACGATCAATCGTGTTTCTCTTTTTTTTTTCTTTTCTCTCTGTTTTTTTCTTTTTTTTTTTTTGTTTAATTTTAACTTTAACTTTTAATTTCGCAGTTTTCCTCGTCGGCGGATGTATAATAATACATACTCTTTGCACCGCGTGGGCCAATGGAGAAGTTTTCTTTCTTTTCTCTTTTCGTTTCTATTTTTTTTTTTTTTTTTTTATATATATATATATATTTTGATTCTTTCTCGAAAGAAAGGGGAGCCCTGACCCGGCCTGATCGGCGCACACCGATTCACCCCACCCCCAACCTTTCACGATCTTTGACGATCGTCGACAGCATGGACGAGCCCGTCTTCGTTCGATGAAGGTTTTTCACTCCGCTTTATCAACCGCGCGTCGTGTACTTGATTCCTCGTTGTTTTCTGGTGGGTATAGAAGTGAACATGACACCGGGTGGAGGCTCCCCGTCCGATAAGGCGGCACGATCTGTACCTAGCTACCTATGTCTGGTATCTGCGTATCGTGTTACGAGAGATAAAAACACCGGGTTCTCTTGCCCAGCGAAACGAGGGTGAAGGTCGAGTTGTGGACGAGGTATGGCTTTACTCTATAAATGGGGTGCGTGGTAATTATTTAATGAACCTTGCCGGCCAAGGAAAGAAAGCAGCAGTTTCAACCGCGCGTATATACGTGTTGTGTATACGTCCCGGACTGCGAAAAACAAAGCCTGGCTCGATACCCCCCACCCCCCCCTTTGACGTATCGTTTCTCCCTTCCTTCCATCACGTATCGCGACGAAACATTCAACGTTTCTTTGGAACGTTCTCTGGAACGAGTGTTTTTTTTCTTTTAGTTAAGGATCAATTTCTTTTTTTATAGAGATACCAAGAACGAACAGACCCTAAGTCGAAATTGAGAGAAAATGAAGAGCCACGGGCGTTTGAACGATCGAACGATCGAAATTGTTCAATTTAATTGCGGACGATGCTAAATCGCTATGTGTATGTGTGTGTGTGTGTGTGTGTGTGTCTGTCACCCGTCAGGCCAGAACCGATTAATTATTTCCGTGAAACGATCATTCGTAAACTGACGTCCCTGCTAACGTCGTTCGATGCGTCGTCGTGTCCGCAGCCTCGTTTATTAATTACGATGACTGGGTTGGCGTGCAGGGAACCGTAACTTCGTCAACGATCGTAACGAGCCTCTCCCTCCATAGACGCGCGTCGCACACCGTCACGACGAGGGGAAACACGCCGTGGACCGAGAACATTTGCAAACTTACCGGAGTTGTTGGCGAATCTCTGCCTGAGGGTAGTGGCGAGGCGCTGGGGACCCGCCAAACTAGGAAGTCCGGCGAACAAACTGCTCAGCTTTGAGGCGACGTCCGGTCCGACCTCGGCCCTCGAGCCGTTCACCGACTCCTTAGCTTCTTGCGTCTCCGGGCCCTCCACCTTTCCAGCCGAATTTGCAACCGAGCCTGCAACGAAACGTCACACCCCCGTATACTTCAAGCGAGAGGAAATTTTAAAATAAGATCAACCGCTTGCGCCTGGAATCACGTGCCCGTCGAGAACCAAATTGAACACATTCTCTCAGTTTTAAGTACTCAGTTTAAAACTAAACTTAAACTCAGCTTAAAACAGTTTACTAAGTCGTTTATTATTAATAATATTACATTTAAGTATAAATATTACTGTTACTTCCCTAATAATTTTTACCCAGTGATATCACACCGACGAGATGAGAAAAAGAAAGCGACGAGTTATTAGTATACGGGTTCGGTCACTCGTTATGGTCCGCGCAACCAGTTGCCACCGCAACGGGTTAAGATCCGCAGTATTCAATGTTTAACTTGAAATAACCTTCAACTGGCTTGTTCAAAATTTTTGAAACAACAAATTTTTGAAGACAGTTTCTCTTCGAGAAAATCTGATACTGCACTCTGTTAATATTTGGTAGGGACGTCTGACAGGCACAGGGAAATGGGAAAGGATTCCCGTGAAAGCAATCAAAAAGTTGTCGGTCTTTAGCACGTCCCCTCCCCCTCCCCCTCTGTCTATAGCACGCTGACAATAAGCTCCTTTTTGTCCACTGGTTCTTCGAAACCGACACAATTCTTTTCAACCTGTCTATTATCTTATGGACGCGTCGAACCCTGACCAATCTATATTTAGAATTTAAACATCTATCTATAACGGTGGCTCTATATCACCACACATTGGAAGAGCACCGTGTATATTGTACATGTGCGTGACTTCCCAAGGTAATTTCCTATCCTTATCCCATGTCGCAGTCTCGTGGTATTTCCACGTACTATTCACCGTATTTATTTACCTCTCCGTGTTATTTACGTCCGACACCATTCGAACGAAACAAATCTCCCATTTCCAATTAAACTTTCCGATCGTCCATACGTCACGAAAGAACATCTTCTTAAGTGAAAAAAAAAAAAAGGGGGAAAAGAAAAAAACGAGAAAAGACAAGCGTCGTTTTCTGCAGTGATGTTATCGTTAACACGTCACCACGTATACATCATGACACGTATTATATAATTCTTGTAAACTCTTTCCCATCTGATCGATTTCTCCACCTGAGGAAATCTCAACGATTCTTACCCGGCCGTTAATCGATCCAAGAATAATCAACCGACTAGGCGACTCCGCCATTCACTTTCAACGCCCGTGCAACGACTACGAGACGAAGGTGATTAAAATAATCATTGAGTACTAAACGAAGAATCGCCGATTGAAGGTTGGGCTGCTGCAGACATCGCTGCAGACGCACGAGAGTCTCGCACCCTCCATCGGCCCGGTGATGTCAACGTCGACGCAACGACTCGGCGAGGCAAATTCGGCGAGATCGCCGGCGGAAATAAAGAGGAAAGATGGAAGAAAGACGAAGACGAATAACGTGCAAACGCGAGGGAAGAAAGAAAAGTTCATTGAGAATACTTACTGAGACCGAAGGGCTCCCGATGACAGGGGCGTCTCGGCGTGTCTCTCCGTTGGGATAGCTTTGAAACGTCTGCCCTCGAAGTTCTCCCCGCCACCGTGTTCCACGTTTACCCTCTTCTCGTCCCCCACGGCGATCCCAACGGCCGGGGAGGAAATCGCGACAGGGCGCAGCCGCGGTTTCCAGGATCCAGGGATTGGCCACCGGCGTTCAGGCCGTGCGTCAGCCCCCGACCACCATCGTACCAACGGTACCGCATCCCCCGCTGACCTCCTCTCGGCCTCGACGCTCGCTTCGTGCTTCGGGGGTGGCATGGCCCTCCACCCGAAGGGGGAGAGAAAGAAGAGAGAGAGAGAGAGAGAGAGAGTGAGAAAGGGAGGGAGAGAGAGAGGAAGCACACACCAGGTATAACGGCGACGGTCGATGCTGCGCGGTATTTCTGGCGGCAGGTCGATATGAGCTTCACCTGTACGACTGTCGGCTGCTGGCTGCGTGGAGAAAAAGGGGTTCGCCGAGAACGTGTGGCGAACACGGCACAGCACATCAAGTTCACAACAACAGTGGCTCCTCTCCATTCGACGTTATCCATCTCATCGTCACGTCGAAGTCTCTGTAGTTGTATATTTCTTTTGATCTTCTCTCTCTCTCTCTATCTCTCTCTCTCGGTATATATATTTCTTTATCTGTCTCTGTTTGTTTATTTCGTTTTTTATCAATTGTCTGTTGATTATTGAATCGTGTCTGTCCAATTAAAAATTGTATTTCGTGTATATTGGAGTAATTTAAAAGCTTCCAAAATACTTATATAGATATGAAATGTATGTTGTTTTCCATTTTTGAGTGATTACCAATTTGTTTGATTTAGCTCTGTTGGTGAATATCTCGTTGAGATATTTTCGTAGATGTGATTCTGGTGTGATTCTATGAAAGAATTGAATTAAATTGGTAATGTAAATTGTAGTCGAATGATAGTACCACACTGTGGTATAAAATATTACGATTAATTCTGTGACTTCATTCTGCTAATATTAATTAAGTAATAAATATAATTAATAATTAGACGCCTGGTGTAATACGGTTGATCAATCTTTTTCTACTACTGCTTCTTTTTTTGTTTCAAGTTTCACGTTCGTTTTTTTTTTTATTAAATCTGACGCCTCGCAAGATCTGCAAAGTCTGAAAACTTTCCAACGGTGGTTAGAGTCGCGTACAGATCGTGTATCTCACTCGTTGTTAAAATTTGTATCAACTAGGCTGTTAGATACACTTCAGCCATCTAATTCTATTTATTTATTTCGTTTTTTATCAATTGTCTGTTGATTATTGAATCGTGTCTGTCCAATTAAAAATTGTATTTCATGTATATTGGTGTAATTTAAAAGCTTCCAAAATACTTATAGCGTATATAGATATGAAATGTATGTTGTTTTCCATTTTTGAGAGATTACCAATTTGTTTGATTTAGCTCTGTTGGTGAATATCTCGTTGAGATATTTTCATAGATGTGATCTATCTATTCTGGTGTGTTCTATGAAAAAATTGAATTAAATTGGTAATGTAAATTGTAGTCGAATGATAATACTACACTGTGGTACAAAATATTATGATTAATTCCATGACTTCATTCTGCTAATATTAATTAATTTCCTAATTTAATTTTACCAGCATCTTACATTGTTATATAATTAATAATATTTTATGTAGTACTTAATAAATTACTTCATTATCTTACTACATCACTTTATTAGAATTTTCAATATAATCTTAGGAGGTTTGATGAAATTTAGAAAAACACATAGCATTAGCAATTTATCCATTATTGTTGTAACCATTTATTCAATTTATTCATTATAGCTTTCTTGAATCTTTAGTGAATTAACAAAGCCACTTTCGAAGTTTCTGTGTAAATCTTTAAATTCTCCACAATTTCTACATTGTACTATATACACGTATGAAATTTTTAGCGGAACAAAGTTTTTAGTACAACAACTACTATTTTTAGATACTTATCGATCCTCTAAAGTTTTCAACATCCGTGCCTACATCCTTAATTTTCATATAATAATATATTAAGCTCTCAGATATTTTCAAGTGAAATGTTCGACTAATCTGTTCATTAGGGACTCGACAAATATAGACACTGGAATAACTTATATTTAGACTAGCTTGAAAATTAGTAACAAACTGATGTGATCAATTTCAATTCAATTTCTGAAATTTTCTCTTAAAATATGTGAGAAAAATGCGATACAATTTTATACACCGTGATTAGAAAAGATATATTAATGTCACGTTGTGCAGATCTCACTTATAAATTTTATTAGTACTATATAGTAAGACAAGACAATTATAATTATACTGATAAAATTCCAAACCAATTTAAATATCTATATAAAAACTACAAGATTTACTAAATAAATGTTTAACTTCTCGAGGGTCAGATTTTTTTAAAAAATTCACAAGAATCAATATGTTTTGACTGAATAATGTCAGACAAATGACAAAGTAACGAGTGTACCGATTCTACTTATAGCGAGGCTGTCGGTGCAAGACAGTCCATTTCTACTTACGTGCCCGTTATATCACATATGTCGGAATTAAAAAATTAAAATATTAATGTACAGCAGGATCGGGCAAATTTCATTTGAAATATAGATAAAAAAATAATTTGAAACAACGAATCAGTTTTAGTAATTGTTTCTATTTGATAAATAAAAAGGCAACTTTAAAATTGGGTCCAAATTAAAGAAATCATTTGGATAATACTTGGGGAAAGTAACTTTATCTTGGGACCAAATTGAAGAAATTATTTGCGAATAATCTTTCATTTGATTAATAAAGTAACAAATGAAATCTCAGTGGAAAATGAAGTTTGGAAACTATTTGGAAGAACAGATACAAAATAGAAAATAAAATGAAAGGTGATCTCATTTGATAGCCAAATAATTAAGTAATTTAGAAACTGCATTTGCCTGTTCGAATAAACTAAATGTAGAATTATTTCAGAGGGATTATTTAACAGTGAAGAGTACAATAAGATTACATATTATTCAAATAACATCCACGCCGTTTTAAAAAATGCAAGTGTTGCACTGAACATTTAAGTTTATCATAATATAACAGATAATTGTTTAAATATTCTTCAGTAATACACTATAACTAAATATTTTGTGATTTCTATACATACCTATATATTCAAAAATTTTTATTTTCACATCCTCCCAATGAAATTACCACAATTACATCTCGATAATTGCAATAATTTTCAAAATTTCACGTGTAACATTTCCTCTACCACTATATACAGAATTTATCTAGTAATTAGGCTATATTTTACATTATTCAGAGTGACACGGTGCAAAAAGTAGTCACGGAGTTGCATTGAAAAAGGAACGAGTGCAACTGCAGCCTTGAAATCGCACCGATGCAAAAGGAATCGCACCACAGTAGAAAGTAAAGTTCTCGTT